TGATTGAATTATTGAACTACTTTTTACTTTTGTTTGATCAATATAAATTAAAATTATTGTTTTTAGTAATTACTTAATAAACTAACTAATAAATAAATAAAGTACTTGTTAATTTTTAAAAATTAAAAAATATATTTTATAGGTATTTAAAAATAATTATTTATTTATTATAAAAGTAATATGTGAGGCTATGTTAGATTTTTTATATTTGGTTTATTTGGGTTGGACCATTTTTAGAGAGGGTTAAAGCCTTCCCTCRCCACCCCTTAGTATAGTACTTGAGAACTATAGAATGTAATCATAAGCTATTGAAAATTAAGTTCGATTAAAATGAACATTAGGTTTATGAGTAATGAAACATATACCTAAACACACAACAACATTTTAGAATAAACATTTATCATGTTTAATGAATTTTGACCATAATGTGTGATGAAAAGAACTTCTAATGCCAAATTCATAGGCGCAACTAGACCAATAATTTTGGGGGTGCACAAATAGTAAGAAGCTCACTGACCCGTAGGGGCAAAGCCCCCACACCCACACATCGTTCATCCCATTAGTTTTCATATTACATTTATAAAAAAAAATAACTGCCAATGTAAAATATATATAACATACATACTTTGTTTTTATAGTGGTACCTAATACAATTTATAGATTAACAAAATTAAATGATCAAAATCAGAACTAAATATTTTAACATGATTTTGCTTGAATGAAAATTATATTTATTTTAAATTTGTTCACCTCTCAATTTGCACCTCTCAATATTTAATATTTATGAATTGGTAAATCTTTGTTGTAGCCCTTGAAAGAATAGAGTGACACAAATCAAAATATAAAATATATTTTCATGAGTATTCGAATATTTATTTCAAATACTTTTCAAAAGTACCTATTTTACACAAGACTGAATGGATGTGTTAAACTGTGTGGCTATGTCTACAGTTATAATATTGTAGACAATGTTTTTATTAGGTGAATAAAATTGGTAAATATAATTATTTTTAATTTGTGTTGTGTAAATAAATAATACAATAAAACTTTAATTTTGTATACTTTTTAACTTAATTCAATATATTATAAATTAATAACTGGCAATTGTTGACGCATACTCGTATACAATAATTTTAGATGTCATTATTATTATTATTATTACTTTTATCTTTATTATATTGTATTATAGGTATCTTATTCTTGTCGATATCTGGTCGATCGATATCATTGTTCAATTATATTTCAGTGTATTTTTATCCGTGTACATATATGTATCATTGTGTCGGCTGCCGTATATATGAATAAAGTACTTAGACATGCAAAATAATTGGATCTTAATGTATAAATAATTAAGATATTAATTTTTTTTTCATATATACTATTATTTTATACAGTCTATTAAAAAAAGTAGTGTTTTGGTAGGTTAACAAAAATAAAACGTTAAGAGAATATTTCATTGGTGACAAAAATAGTGTGCTGGCCGAAAACGATCATTACAGAATGGCTGAAAGAGTAAAGGTTCATTTTGGCCGAAAAGTGTTCCACCCGATCGCGACGTTTCGTATCAGAACCCACCATAACGTATTTATTGGAAAAAATATTTTTGTGTTCAAAAGTGGAATTTATGATAATAAACAGAAAAAATATTTTCCTTCCAACAAAAATATTGGAGTGTACAAATATTATAATTTCATAAAAAAACAAAAATAAAGTCTACAGCATGATTTGAACTGACAATGAGCAATACCTAACACTTTTTAAATAATACAAAAATTTTTATTTCAATTTTAAACTATATTAATTAGTTGTAATCGTTTCACTTAGTAAACCACTGGAACACCACCAGTCATCGAATTATCGATTCCACATTCGTTTGTGCCACGTAGAATTTTGAAAAAACCTTGGTCACCCCAATCTTCATTCCATGAGTTGACCATCAGCCAGTATGGAATTCCATTTTCTTCACCCCATCCGATCAATTTAACGGCGTGTGATCCCAAGTATGTAGTATTTTCGGTTTTTGCATAAATCCCTTTAGAATGTAAAATTTTAGTAATAAATATGATTATGATTATTAATAAAAAGAAACACAAGTACACGTCATATTATAAAATATCCAATCGTAGGTGCTAA